TCAAGTTCAGGAGATCAAGGAGACTGCACCACTGATTTTCACAAGTCTCTTACCATAGAAGTTCACACCAAAAAACCAGGGAGTCAGAACAGAACAATTTAGGAAGCAGAGGCAAACAAGAAGAGTCTCACAAACAATGGGAAGACAAAGAAACAAACCCCAAACAAAAGGAAAGGAGGAAGCCTCAGAAAGAATGCTAAATGAAATAGAGGCAAGTCAACTATCAGATAGCGACTTCAAAGCACTGGTTATAAGGAAATTCAATGAGTTCATTGAGAATTACCACAAACTACAGGGAATCTATGAGGAACTTACTGCAAATTAAATCAACATGAAAAAGGGAAATAGAGACTATCAACAAAAGCCCAGAGGAAATGAAGAATACAATGTCTGAATTGAAGAACACAGTAGAAGGAATCAAAAACAGGCTAGATAAAGCAGAGGATTGACTCAGCAAGCTGAAGGACAAGGTAGAAAAAACTCCCAAAAGAATCATAAAAGGAAAAAAGACTCAAAAAAAAATGAAGAAGGGTTAAGGGAAATGGAAGACAACATGAAACTGAATAATATCGGTATAATAGGGATACCAAAGGAAAAGAAAAGGAGCAAAAGATAGAAAAACTGTTTGAACAAGTAATGATGGAAAACTTCCCTAATTTGATGAGAGAAAAAGTCACACAAATCCAGGAAACACAGAGAGTCCCAATCAAGAGGAACTCCAAGAGGCCCACTTCAAGACACATCATCATTAAAATGGCAAAATTCCAAGACAAAGAGAGAATCTTAAAGGCAGCAAGGGAGAAAAAGGAAGTAACATACAAGGGAGCCCCAATAAGGTTAGCTGCTGACTTCTCAATGGAAACATTACAAGCCAGAAGGGAATGACAAGAAATATTCCAAGTAATGAAAAGCAAAGGCAGGCAACCAAGATGACTCTAATCAGCAAGCCTCTCAATTAAAAAAGAAAGAGAAATAAGGAGTTTCCCAGACAAAAGAAGACTGACAGAATATACCTCCACCAAACCAGCATTGCAAGATATGCTAAAGGGACTGCTTTAACAAGAGGAAGAAAAAGAGTGTGTAAGAGAGGGGAACACAGGTACAAAGTAAAATGGCAATAAATGAGTACCTATCAATAATAACCTTAAATGTAAATGGTTTAAATATCCCAATTAAAAGACACAGAGTAGCTGAATGGATAAGAAAACATGACCCACACATATGCTGCTTGCAAGAGACCCACCTCAGAATAAAAGACCTACACAGACTAAAAGTGAAGTGTTGGAAAAAAACATCCCAAGCAAATGAACAGTAAAAAAAAATTGGGGTAACAATACTTATATCAAACAAAATAGTCTTCAAAACAAAGACCACAAAAACAGACACAGAAAAACACTTCATAATACTCAAGGGAAGAATCTTTCAAGAAGACATAAACATTATAAATATATATGCACCCAACATAGGAGCACCCAAATATATAAGGAAAATTTTGGAAGACTTCAAGAAAACTATAGATAGCAACACACTTATTAGGGGATTTTAATACCCACCTATCAAAAATGAATAGCTCTTCCAAACAAAGTATCAATAAGAATACTGCAGCATTGAACAATGCCCTAGATCAAACGGACTTAACTGATATATAGAGAGAGCCTTTCATCCCAAAGAAACAAATATGCATTGTTTTCAAATGCACATGGAACATTTTCAAAGATAAACCATATGATAGGACACAAAACAAGCCTCAAAAAATTCAAGAACATTGAAATCATACCAAGCATTTTCTCTGACTGTAGCAGGAGACCTGCTTAGACAAGCACAGACAAGTCAGAAGGACACAGTCCCTTTGCTGAGCCACTAAGATAAGCCGGGGTGACCAACTAAGTAACTAAGATGTAAGAACAAAAGAACATTGTATGACCCTATCAGCAGCCCTGCTTTCTTGATTCTGTAAACCTGCTTCTGCCACGTAGGCTTAGTAAAATTGCTTCTGCATGCCACACTATAAAAACAAGCTCCTGCCTGAGCTCAGAACCCAGAAGTTGGAGACTGCCTTCTCTGGGTCCGCATGCATAAATAAAGTTCCACTCCGTACACCCAAATGCGGCTGAGTTGTTTTCTGTAACATAACCACAAGGGCCTGAAAGTTGAAACCAACCTGAAGGAAAAAAGTCAGAAACACTCAACTTCATGGAGATTGAATAGCATGCTATTAAGCAATGAATGAGTTAAAAATGAGATCAAGGAAGAAATCAAAAAGGTCCTGGAAACAAATGAAAATGAACTCACAACATTCCAAAATTTATGGGACACAGTGAAGGCAGTCTTGAGAAGGAAGTTCATAGTGATACAAGCCTACCTAAAAAAGATAGAAACATTTCAAATAAACAACCTAACCCTACATCTACAAGAACTGGAGGAACAACAAAGACAGCCCAGAGGTAGTAGAAGGAAAGAAATAACCAAGATCAGAGCATAACTAAATAACATACAGACTAAAAGAACTATTCAAACAATCAATAAATCCAGGAGATGGGAGGGAATAATGGGGGAAAAAGAAGGAAGGGTCATCAAGGAACATGTATAAAGGACCCATGGACAAAGCCAAAGGAGGGTAGGATCAAGGTGAGAGGTGGGGATGGCTGGGATAAGGGGGAGTGATGGGGGGAAATCGGAGACAACTGCACTTGAACATCAGTAAAAATGATTAAAAAAGAAAATGGATAAAAGACTGAAATAGATATTTTAGCATAAAAGATGTATCAGTGGAAAATAAACACACAAAGAGATGTTTGACATTATTGGCCATGAGAGAAATGCATATTAAGACCACAGTTGAGGTATGCTACACACCTATTAAAAGAGCTAAACTGAAAAAATTTGATAACACCAAATGCTGGCAAGGATGTAGAGAAACTGAATCTCTCATACACATAGTCATACATATAGTCATTTCTGACCCCTCACTATGTGGTAGCTGCTATTTTCTAAATGCTATCTATACATTACATTAATATTTTCACAGAAATTCAATTTTTATATTATATTCATACACATACAGCTTGTGTGTCTCAGAGTAAGCTCCCCATGCTCTCAGCTCTGGGTAGCTCTGTTTTAGTGGCCCACTTCTTGAAAAGGGTTATGAGAAGTGCAAAATGTCATAAGTCTACTGTCTACTCTCAGTGAGAAATCATTTGATCCTGTGTATCTTGAGGGGGGAAATAAAGGACCTATAAAGTAGCATTCAACACAAACATGATTTAATCAGCTTCTGAACATCCAGGGTACTTACTGTGTGACCAAATAGAAGTAGGAAGTAATTTCAGAGGTCACTGAATGCAAAGATTCTCAACTGTGTGCAGTTCTTATTCTGCTCCACAAAACAAAGATGGTACCATTCTATGTCTCAAGTTTCAAGCCAAAAATCTGTAAATTTTCTTTTTCAGGTTTATATTGCCACATATGAATAGTTTTCCTTAGGATAGTTGTCAAGATTCATGCCAAAAAATTGAAATTCAAATCATCCTACATTTTACAACATAAAAAAAGACCCTACCACAGCAAGTCTTCTTACAGGCTGTACAGCACAGTGGTTATTAAGAGTGTGAACTCTGAGGCAAGACTGTCCGGATTCATATATCAACTTGTCCACTTTAAGCTTTGTGACCTTGGGCATGTTATTTCTCTGTGCTTCAGCTTCCCCAACTCTAAAATAAAGACATTAGTAGTAGTTCCCTTATAGGAATGTTATGAGAATTAGCTTAATATACATGTGACATCTTAAACACCACCGGCAGCATAAGTGTTAGCTATTATATGACCATCACTGATAAGCCCCACATAGATTCTGAGGCTGAGACATGCCAGCACCCTGAGGCAGAGACATGCCAGCCCAGAAATGGTAGGGCCGACAGTGGCCAAACCCAGGAATCCCTGCCTGCTATCAATACAAAAGTTTTGAGACTATTCTCTCCGATTCCAGTTTTATCCCTGATTCCAAGGATGACTGTGAGATCCCTGTTCATTTTTCTCTCCTCTAAGCTAGGTATGCTTTGCAGCTGTTAGTCCCACATCCTACATTCCAGAGAAGGAAATACAAACGAAAACCCAACAGAGAATGAAAAAAAAACATTGTCACTCTGTGGCTTTTCAGAGAATTCTTCACACCTCTTGCACTAGTGAAGTGTCTTCTCGTTCTGATCACTTTCACCCTCTGCAGACCCAAAACTGATGCAGGTGGTGAGAACACCTTGAAGATTCAGGGTGCTCACTCAGAACTGAAGGTTACCTGGAGACAATCTGACAATGTGCTTTTATTTATCAATAAGAGAAAATGAGGCCCAAAGACATGAGGGGCTTGCATTAAACCAGGGCCAGAGTTGGGCTGTGGGTCTCTTGACTCCTGTTCCAAAGTCCTTTTTGCCATAGGATGTCAGAGCTCACAAGTCCTGTTTGGAATTTAAATGCTCTTTAAAACAAGAAAATCAGGTCAGTGCCCCTTCATTCTGACATAGCTGCAAAACCACAGGCAGGGGACGTCCATGAGGCTGCAACAAATGAGGGTTATGCAGGAAATGTTACCTATTTTGTGCACTCAAGCAAGAAGAGACACAGCAGTTTCCTCCTAAAACGAAACTGTAATTGTGAAAAACAAAACTTGATTGTGAAATAGCAGACATTGCCAACAGCTATGTCTAGCATCTCTCCTGTGGCTTTAAGACTTTTTGGATTCTTGACCTAATGTCACTGCTCCAGCAAGGTGCAGGTGTTTCTAATTCCTTGTGATTTTGTAGCAACAAAAATTTTAATGTCAACAGTTTCTTTTTCTCCTGGAAATTTCAACACTCTGAATTCTTATTGTTTTTGACTTTTGATCTCTCCAAAGGACAACAACAACAACAAAAAAACAGTAAAAATCTTCCATGCACTAAGCTATACCACTATAGCATGGGCATAGTGGTATAGACAAAAAAAACTGGCCTCTGTTTCAAACCGACCTTATATTAAGCCATGACAACATGGGTGTTGTGCCTCCACCAACAATCCAGACCGTGAAGAAGACAATGAGGAGCGTGGTCGTGAACATCATCTGGCGAGCATAGGATGCTGTGTCTCGGATGGCAAGTGCAAATGCCATTGCTCCCCTGAGGCCTGCAAGGACCAAAGAGGAAGTTGTCCTGGTTATAATGACAAATGGCAATGTGTCCTCAAATACACTGCTACCTCTGGGGGCTCATAAACCATATCCACTTATGCTTCTGGAGTCAAGTTGTTTTATTCTGAGAGAAGGACTTTAAAGGAATATAATTTTTTCCTGTTTGAAGTTTTCTTTTGCAAAGTGTCCAAATGCAATGATAAAAACACTGTACAACTTTGCACAGGATATTTTTATTAATACTAATAACACTCTTTCGTTGCTGAAATAATTATCCTGCTAGTAATATGAAATAAAAAGAAATATAAATAAGAAATCATTTAAGCTCTCCAAGTCTGTGATCCAAGCACAGCCCATGCCCTACATAGTCACTATAAACTTAAGAAACAGGCTACATAGGAATATGTCAAATGTATACTTGTGGTTCATGTATTATAAACCACAAAGCAGTAGTTCCATCATTTAGTTAGCAAGGCCACACAGAGAAGTAACAATATAACCTGATCTACATCAGGGGTTGGCAACATTTTCTGTAAAAGATGACAAATAGTTTATGCTTCGTGGACCATGAGGAAAAATCAAGGCTATCATGTAAGTACTTATATAAAAGAAAACAAATTTTCACAAAATTTGATTAACAAGAACAAGAATATAATAATAATGAGTACAATTATTGTAATACAGGTCTACTATTAAAAAGAAAGGAATTCTTTGAGGGGGACAATGCTTATCTGGCTTGCAAAGTTAATGTTCCCAATTATTGAACAGATTATAAATATTCATCTATAAAAGCCATTCTGAGCCCTCAGGGTGTATGAACACAGGCAGCACCCAGATTTGGCTCAGGCACCAGTTTGCTAGCCCTGATGATCTACATTAACAAGTGTTAAGATTAAGCATGAACATTTTAATATTTATCTTTCTACGCTTTTTTGTTACTTCCCCATACCATGCTCATAATTTGTTGTATAGTGAAGACTGAATCCATGGTCTTTAATACATATCTAGTTTAAATTCCTATTCACCATGAGCAAGATTGTGTGTATAAGAATTACAGTTATGCCTACTATATCTGTTTGTGTATTTTCCCACCTTTCCCAATAATTTCACAATTAATCTGAGAACTTCATTACGAGTTACTAAAGAAAAATCATTTAACAAAAGTTACATTAAAAAAACAGAGTGAATTTAATGTTTTCTATTAATCTGCCCTAGGGAAATATTTATCCATATCTCGATCACCCTACAGGCCAGTTATGTCATTAACCAATCAATCAATATTTTAAGCCTCTAAAGAGATATTATTTCAAATAGGATAACTTGGGGTCAAAAAAAGACAATGTTTGCTATATATTTCTTCATTTTACTAGGTAAACATTGTAAGCAATATGAAAGTGAAACCTCAGGTAGTTCATGGCTTTGAAGAATGAGTTCTCCCAGAAGAAAATAATTTTTATAAGATATGTCTTTAAACAGCACTATGTACTTCTCAGTCTTTTAGTATGGAAGATAATAAACATATTTTAAGTTTATCTAGGTAACTATGTCCAATTCATCTCTCTTTTTTATGCCATCACTTTCCTAATACATGAGGAGGATCTTATCATTGTCCTCACAAATCTCTAATGCTTCCAAACTGCTTCTAAGTAAAACCCAAACTGGTAAAGTACTGGAGCTTCTCTGTGGTCTAGACTCCAGCAATAGTCCTCAAAGTGTGATCCTCAAACCAGTAGCAGCAGAAAACATGTTAGAAATGCACATTCCCGAAGCTTCCCTGTACCCTCTCCTTTAACCAGCCTAACAGGTGATTCCAATGCAACTTGAAGCTTCACATCACTTTATATGTAATTTTTCATTCCGACCTTACCATCTTTCACCACTACCCCATGTGTCTTACGTGTGAACCATTCTGCTTACCTTTCCCTGCAAAAGCCACACAAGGCAATTCTTCCCGGACTTTCTAACCTGCTGCCTCCTGAAATCCATTTCTTCCAAGCTCAGTTCAAAGATTACCCCTTTGCAAAGATGGCCCTGGCTCCTCCTCTCCTCTGCATTTATTCTATACTTCTTTTGAGCAATTCATCCCACTCTCTTCAGAGAAAGCACTTTGTACACCTGTCTCCCACCAGAAGACTATGAACTCCTTGAAAGGAAGCTGGTTTCTGTGTCCTCTACAACCTAGAACTGTGGCTTATAAAAGAGAATGCTCAATAAATGTTTGTCAGAGTGAAAGGCAATCATTATGGCAGGTTGTACATTTAAGGGCAGATGCAAGTAAGTACTAGACAATGACTACTTTGCTGAACAGTGCCGGTTGGTGTGGTTTCACTATGACTCTCTAAGGCCTCCAAGAATTACCGGATGGCCATAAAGAGCAGTTACTCACTTTGCCTCTTGTACAGCCCCTCCCCATCACCCATACAGTAGAGAAGTAACTTTAAGGGTTACAGTAGCCTTTTGTGCCACCATTTCCTCCCTCTTCTCTGCAGAGATGCTGTAACTTGGGTCTCATTTATCAAATCTGATACCACCCTTTACTGCACTATCTATTCATGCAGATTGTTCTCTCCCTTCTTTATCTGCACATATTTCCTTATTTTCCTTTATTCCCTCAGTGGCCTCTCCATACTTTCTAGCTTTATAGTGGAGAGGGGCTATCTGGGAGACAGTGTAAATCAAGTGTAAATCAGCAGAACTATCACAGCTGTTGTTTTCTGGTTTGGGGCCATCTTTCTTAGGAGTGTATTTTATTTCTTTTTGCTCCATAGAAAGTTAGAGCTAGGAGGGACCTCAACTAATTAGCTCAATGTCATTATTTTACAAGAGGATACTGCAGCTGGGGGAGGGGTGTTGAGTGACATGGCCTATGTTCTTTCTCATTGAAGACCTATTTTACTTAATTTAGTTCTGGAGCCCTTTTTGAAGATTAAGAGTTATGAACAATCTAGAGAACAATTAGGCACTTTCATATACCTCCAAGCCCCTTGAGTGATAGGAATGAAATAGAGATACAAATATTTTAGGGGTGAACGTTCACATTTGGTAGTAGAGTTTGCAAAATCAAGATAAAGTCAGTTTACCCTGTACATCTGTCTACTCAGCACTGCAGTGGATAAAACAGAACCAGAAACTTGAATTTTTCTCTTTTTATGAACGTTATCAATACTTTAATCATATTAACACTGCCTGGTGAAAACAACCATTTTGTATACATTTATACTGTTTTACCTGAAAACATCATCATATGTTGAAAATTCCAGCCAATCTTATGCCTTCTGCCCAAGTTGAGGAAGAAGGAGAGCGGGTAGATATGTGCAGCTCTGCCCAGGAAGATGGCAACCTGAGCACCAGGTGGAGGTTAAGGCCCCAAAAGTTTTCCAGAATGCCACTGTCACACAACCTCTGGTTAAACAGAGAATTTTAGGAGTGCCATGACATCTCTCTTGTATGATCGGGAGAGCTGCACCAAAAAAGTTAGGCTGTCTAGTTTCCCTCTAAACAAGTCTCAACAACAAGTACTATTCATTCAATTGACCAACTTTCCCAACCTGCTGGCCCGCAGAGGTCACATATAGCCCATTATATACACCATTGTAGTTTCATGATTTAATGAAACTGGTATGACACATCCAATATATCTTAAAATAAGTCTGGAAATAAGGTAAGGTACCATATCAGGGGAGGGAAGCTGAGAGAAACAAACAGTGTGTTGGGTTTTTTTTGGTTGAAAACCCACAAAAAGAAAAGATTACTAACTCCTGAGTTAAACTATAAGGAGAAAGTTTGTTGGGTAAGAAGCTGGTAAGCTTTAGTTAGAAGTAAACACCAGGGGCTTGAATGACCAGCAAGAGTCTACAAATAAGAAGTAGGGAAACTTAAAGTATTCATAATACAAATACACATTTATGTTCCTCACAAGAATCAACCTGGGCGGGGGGGTGGGTGGGGTGGGATGGGAGAAATAGATTAAAAAAATGTACTTGAAAAGTAACTAAATAAAATTTAATATTAAAAAAATGTACATTACCATTTAAAATTTTTTTATTTAGTTACTTTTCACAATTTTTATTTAAAAATTTAAACCTACAGAGAATTTGCAAAAATAAATGAAGATATATTCAAAAAAAAAAAAAGAATCAACCTGGGAAGATTTCTCTACCTAAGTGGCTAAAATGTCTTTCAGAGATATATAAAAAGGAAAACGAAGAGTGTGGAAGAGGAACTCTACTGTGGAAACCAAAGAATTCAGGGAAACCAGTCATTCGTCACCTGCTGAATTTAGAACAGAGCCCAACAGAGAGCCACACATGCCCTGCTTACAGAAGGAAAGCCCAGTGGGAGCCAGAGGAACAGGGAGCTTCCGTTCCAGTAAAGCACCAGCTGCCGGAGCTGCAGCTGTTTCAGATACATGTGAGGGCAAAAGTATCTTCTGTCTTCTCCAGGGGAAAGCACTGACTAAAATTTTCTTTTTTTATCTTCCTTTTTTGTTTTGTTTTTAGCAAAAGGAAACAGGTAGTGCGTATAAAGCCCATTCTACCCCCAGAAGCCATGCAGAGATCCTCCGTGTAATCAGTCTTCAGGATTCTCAGAGGATCTGATTGGCCACAGTCCAGGGTGCTTATTTGTAAACAAGGGCTGCATTCTCACTCTCACAGGATGCCATGCCAGGAATACAAAACAAAATGACATGCAAGGTCTTTCCTAATCAAGAATTAAAAACACTGATCCTGCAGAATTTCAGCTATTAGTTTGTCAATATAAGAAAAGAACCCCAGTTGAAGCAGATAAGTGGAAGGATTCTGACATGGCATTAGACCATTGTCACTACCTAGCTGTTTCGTGAATATCATTTATTCCTGCATAAGACATGAAAAAACCAGAAGAGGAAAATGCTCCTTTTCTGCCAGCATCCCAAGACCTAAGGATATCCATGAGGCCTTGGAAAAGGCAGAAGTGAATGCCCAGCAATATAGAACTCCTGCTTGGGATTTTGAAATCCAGGCTGAGCTATAGAACTACAGTTCCAAGCCTCAGAAGAGTTCACTTGAATGAAAACAATAGGATCTGAGGCCAAGTGAGCAAAACCCTCAGCTGTCAATCCACTGCTAGGTATTCATATTCTTCCTCACTTGAAAGAAGCCAAACCTTAAAATTGTGTCTCTCTTCCAAAAACTGTGCTCCCAGTGAGACTAAATCAAGAAACCAACTGTTTTCCCATTCTATATTTTCTGTTTCCTTCTTCTTCTTTTGAGAAAAAAGAGTTGTTTCCACCTCCATATGTTAAGCTTGGGTGAAAGTATGCTTATTACCTGCAAGCTTCCCTGGGAGGTCAGGGAGGGCTGCCCATATCGGTGTGCAGTCAAGAACAGGAGTAATAGAACCTTCTTGTATTTTGAATGGGGAACCTCCTGGATTGAATTCATGCAACAATGAAACAAGAATAATTCCAGGAACTGACATGGGTGCCCACTCTTAGATCTGCTAACAAAGGCGCTTTAGAAAACAAACAGCCACCTGCCAGCACTGGCATAACAGAAAGGCCATCTTACACAGGAAATGCAGAAAGGACATCCTCAGGATCAATGGTAGTCCTTTAAACCAAATACATTTAGCTTCATGAACCACTTAGGCCTCCTTTTTCTCCTCATAAAAACACCATGAACTCATGCTGGCTCAGTCATGCACCCAAAACAGAAATTATTATTACTATAGCTTCCTCAGCAATGATCACTTCTCCGTGTAGAAAATAGTGGAACCAAAAAAGGATACAAAAGCTCCAATGATGAAGATTGGGCTGAAAACGTGCTTCTGGAAGGTAAATAGTGCCAGGCCCATGTAGGAGAAGATGAAGTTCTCTGCCAGGAAGTGCAGCACCTCAAAGAGCTGCACGGAAAGGAAAAAAGGAAGCATGAAGCCCAGCGTCAGTCACAGGTAACTCATGATGATGGAAGGTTCTTGCTCACCTGCTTCGTTCGACCTCTTGATTCCACCGACAGATTGTTGTAGGTATAATGAGCTTGTGTGATTCCACAGAAAAGGACAGCTACAACACCTGGCAAGAGAGATTTTTTTTTAATCAGTGAAATAAAAAGCAGCAGGAAAAATCCCTGTGAGACAAAAACTTAAGGTAGGCAATCCCAGCATACCCAAGTTCCTGAATATTTTTGAGTTTCCTGTTACTGAAAGCTCCCCCTGAACCCACCACTCATATTAACCTTTCTTTGTTCCCACCCTGCTTTCCTTCAAACCCGAGGTCCCGGACCTCATCTCTTACTCCAGATTTAAGAGTATCCTCTCTCATCCTCTAAACTCCTTACCATCTGTATTTTGCATTTAGCAGAGAGACTGTGAAGTCCTATCATACACTTTTATCATATTCCTCTCTGTTCTTAGAACAAATGAGTTTAATTTCAAACCAATGCTTTATATTTTTGCATGGTCTAGAGATTGAGACAAAATGGATCCAGAGTACTATTCCATTTATTCAAGCCCTGATGATCTAGACTTCTGGTTAATGGTAACCAGTTTGTTATGTAGACAATTGGTGCACTTGAGATTTAGCCTATAAATTTATAGGTAATGGTCAAGTTTTAAGGAAGTAGGGCATTTTATAATGCTGCATATAAAGACATGTTGCAATTTGAAAAGGTGATAAAAGAACTTACTACCTGGATTATATGTGGTATTTAAGTTTTCTAATGGAAATAATCAGTGATTTGGTTTTATAATGAGAAAATGTGAGAAACTAAAACCACATGATCACTCACACTAATAATATATGAAACTGGCACCATAAAAACATGGTATTGAAAAACAATGATTAAACAGATCCGAGGAAAAAACAAGGAATATCTGTGTTCCCACTTATCTGAGTAGATACAAAATTACCTTTAAAAGGATACATATTGTGCTTATTATTTCTGCTGTTTGTAAACAAACATAGCAATCTAAGGGAGGATACAACTAAAATGTTAATATGTTCAGTTATTATGTTCTAAACATATAGTTAGAATGAATACTCAAAGATATAGCTGAGTTTGAAACAATAAACTTTATCCTTTAAATTTATGCAGCTTTGGGAAATTATTCATAAGGCAGAACATCAGTCTTGCTCAGTAATCCACCACATGGACATTCAGTGAGCTGTATAATCAACTCCATGCAGCTGCTATTTATGAATTTTTCCCTCCCCTCAAGCTCCCACAACCCCTTATACAGTGAGGGGAAGAGTGGCCCAAGGGTAGAGAAAACCCACCTGTAAACCCACAGGCTTCTGCCAAGAGGAACGTGCTCCAGGACATCAGGAAGAAGAGTGCCGTCTCCAGCAGCGGGAAGCAGTGTAGCTTCGTAAACTTGGTCACGTCAGCCCCTGTCAAGGAACTCATCTCCAGGAACAAGTACTAGAGTCACCAAGAACCACATTCTATCAGCTTAGGATTCCCTCCCTAAGGGCCATCCCTTCCCCTTGACTCTTCCTCTGGGGTCCCAAAGGCGTTGCTTGCTTTTTAAAGTAATAAAAAAACAAGCTTTCCAGTAGAACAGAGATTATCAAGGTCTTGGAAAGGGAGATATTGTTTAATGAGTACACAGTTCTGTTTGGATTCATGAAAAAATTCTGGAAACGAATAGGGATAGTTACACAACACTGTGATTGTACCGAATGCCACTGAAATGTACACTTAAAATGGTTATAAAGGCAAATTTTATATACATTCTACTACAATTCTAAAAAATGAATAATGTCAAATACCAAAGCCATCAAGTTGTACACATCAAAAGGTTGAATTGTACAGTGTGAATTTTATCTCAATAAAGCTGGGATTTTTTTTTAAATTAGGCTTTCTAGAGAGACTGGAAATGCATTCTCTGGGCTCCTTACAATGCCCATGGGTCTGAAAGGCACAGTCTTGGCATGTGGTGTGACTGTCAGGTTAGTCCTGACAGTGCTAGGACTGCCTAGAGCTGGCCTGGGAAGATGATACTGTGAGACTTTGTCCTTTATAGGCCACTGAGGCCTGAGTCCATAGCAGGTGCCTAATGAAGGCATGAGAAAGAAAAAATGTGCCATGCCAGGGGCAACTACAAGGCACGGGTATCGTGTTTTAGGACCAGAGATTTTTCTCCTGACACTGTCCTTCTATGGAAGGCCAGCATGGAACCATCTCATGAGTGGTTTTGCTGAACAATATAAATCTCTGGTGTATCTAAAGGGACTTTGTGAAGAAAGCAATATAAATCTGTGCTATCTAGTATGGTAGTCACTAGCCACATGTGCCTACCGAACACTTAAAAATGTGCCTAGTCTGAATTGAGCTGTACTATATAAACAAAATCTGCACCATATTCCAAAGATTGCATATAAAAATTGAATGCATAGCCATGGCTGGTGTAGCTCAGTGGATTGAGTGTGGGCCTGTGAACCAGACAATCGTGGTTCAATTCCCAGTCAAGGCACATGCCTGAGTTGCAGGCCGGTTCCCTGCAGGCCAGTTCCCAGCAGGGGATGCACGAAGGCAACCATACATTGATGTTTCTCTCCCCCTCTCCTTCCCTTCCCCTCTAAAGATAAACAAATAAAATCTTTAAAAATATATTTTTTAAAAAATTGAATGCATAAAAATCACATGAATAATGTGTGCATTTTGTTAATTTGTATATTAATTACAGGCTGAAATCTGGCTTGCATATGTGGCTCCCATTACATTTGTATTTATTGGAGAGCAGTGATCTAAATGCTACTGAAAGAAGATATGATGAAGGACTTGGCACACCTGTGGAGGGGCTGCCTGCTTATTGCACACTACTTTTATATGTGTTTATGGGCTGGTTGGCTGGTTAGTTGGTCTTAAACTAAATATTGTTCAGCCCACTTACAGAAGACCACCTCACAGTAATTCCCACTAGTGGCCCTCAGATAGTTATGCCCATGTTAGCCCAATGTGGCCCAGAACAGCTGACAGGAGCAACAAGCTTGGGGCTAAAGCATTTCCCAGCCTACTTCTTCCTGGCCTTCTGTGAGGTGATTTCTGATTCCCAGCCTCCTCCTGGTTCTTCAGCTCCTTTCATCCCCCTAAAATTAATCTCCTTTTTTCCCACCTCCAACTGGCTCATAGGAGGGAGAGAAAAATGCAAAGGTAAGGAGAGAGCTAAGCCTAGAGTTACACCCCAAACATTTTCTCAGACTCTTAGCTAGACACTCAATTGTCATGTTTTACCAAAGGGACATGCCAGAAGTCCCCAAACCCCAGTGGAACAATAAATTTAAGCTTCACTTTGAAAGGAAAAAATGACAACTTTCTTTTTGCAAGTGTAATGTCATATAATCATACCCACACAGGGCTAGAAATTACAAAAAGGATATTAGAGCAGTCACAACACCAGTCACAGCTCCCATAGTAAAAGAGCCACTAAATATTCCTAGAAAAATGCCAACTGACTTGAAAAATGCAGCAGCATCAAATGCATGAGTGTTCAGCCCTGCTGGCTGGTAGGCAACAATAGACCTGAAATTTTAAAAGAAGAGAAAATGTAAAAGACTGTGCTGGTTTTACACCATGGTGCCAAAAGCTATCAACAGACATATGTATCTGTAGTTTACCAGGCATTTCCCATGGTGTATTCATTTAACTTAATCTGCAGTCACTATGTTATGCTAGTACAGCATTCTAATTGCTGCTGATTGGACAAAGCAATATAACATTATCAATAAAGTTGAGAAACCTCATTTAGAAAAACACCCCATTTAGTATTTAACAGGTAAGATGAATCTCTGAATTTAGCCCAGAGCATTTAGGAAGCCAGAGTCTCTCTTCCCTGGGCAGAAATATTGTTACTTACGAGGATAGCACAATGGCAACAGCATCATTTAGGACACTTTCTCCAAACAGAAGTGCATAAAGGTCCACATCTGCGTGTAACTCATTAAATATCGCCAGTACAGTCACTAAAAAGTAAGTCAAAAGCACATAAATTAGTTTCCATTTCTGGCCTTAAGCCATGGATGACAAATTTATAGAAGCAATTCTTATCTTCAGTAGGACTGGGTGGTTTGATAGACAGGGAGTCAAAGGTGGATTGTCTGTCTATGGCAGAAACAAAAATGGCAGTCTTCTTAATCAGAATGAGTTGTGAGATGATGCTCGATTCTAAAAACACTGCACCAAAACACCGCCCTTCCCATTGTAATCCCATCACAACTTCTAAAAAACTCTTTAAAAAGGTTTAACTAATTAGCTTTGGCTGGTGTGGCTCCATGGTAGGAGCACTGGCTTGAGAACCAAAGGGTAGCTGGTTTGATTCCCAGACAGGGCACATGCATGGGTAACAGGCCAGGTCCCCAGAAGGGAGCACACAGCAGGCAACCACACACTGATATTTCTCTTACTCTCTCCCTTTCCCTCTGTCTAAAAATAAATAAATAAATACAATCTTTAAAAAAAGATATCATTAATTAATTTTTTAAAATTTTTTTATTGATTATGCTGTTACAGTTGTTCTATTCCCCCATTCATTCCCCTCCACCCTACCCCCCATCCCCACCATTACCCCACCCTTTAGTTTATGACCATGTGTCTCAAGTCCTTTAGATTCTATATTTCCCATGTTATTCTTGCCCCCCCATCTATTTTCTATCTACTGTCTATGCTACTTATTTTCTGTACCTTCTCCCCCATCTCCTCCTCCTACTCCCCTGTTGCTAACCCTCCTTGAGATCTTCATTTCTATGTTTCCACTCCTGATCTAGCTGTCCTTTTAGTTTGCTTTTGTTTTAGGTGTGGTTGTTAATAACTGTGAGTTTGTTGTCCTTTCACTGTTCATATTTCTTTAACTTCTTTATCTTAGATAAGTCCCTTTAACATTTCATATAATAAGGGATTGGTGATGATGAACTCCTTGAATTTGATCTCATCTGAGAAGCACTTTATCTGTCCTTCCATTCTAAATGAAAGTTTTGCTGGATAGAGCAATCTTGGTTGTAGGTCTTTGGATTTCATGACTTGGAATACCTCTTTCCAGCCTCTTCTTGCCTGTAAGGTCTCTTTTGAGAAATCCACTGACAGTCTGATGGGGACTCCTTTGTAGGTGACTGTCCCCTTAGCTCTTGCTGCTTCTAGGATTCTCTCCTTCATTTTACTCTTGGCTAATGTAATGATGATGTGCCTTGGTGTGTTCCTTCTTGGGTCCAACTTCTTTGGGACTCTCTGAGCTTCCTGGATTTCCTGGAAGTCTATTTCCTTTGCTAGATTGGGGAAATTCTCCTTTATTATTTGTTCAAATAAGTTTTCCACTGGTGGTTGTGCCTTTCCCCCTTCTGGTACCCCTATAATTCAGATGTTGGAGCGTTTAAAGATGTCCTAGAGGTTCCTAAGACTCTCCTCATTTCTTTGAATTCTTGCTTCCTGACTCTGTTCTGTTTGGCCATTATTTGCTTTCTTCTGGTCCACTCCATTGATTTGAGTCCCAGTTTCCTTTTCATTGCTATTGGTGTCCTGTGCAATTCCATTCATTTCAATTAGTTTCGCCTTCATATATTTGTCTAATTTGTGGCTATAATCAACCAGTTCTATGAGGATCCTGATCACCAGTGTTTTAAACTGTGCGTCTGAGAGTTTTGCTATTTCTTCATCGCTTAGATCTCTGGGCTGTGGGGCTTTGAGAACTTGCGACATTTTTGGTCTGTTCTGGCCCTTTAAGTGTGAGAAGCAGTGCCTTGGACTCCCAGGTCACTGGGTTGTGACGCTGTATGTGGGGGCGTGGTCACAACGGGAAATGGCTGCACCCTCTGCTGCCATTTGCCACGGGGACCGCTGGGCCCCGGTCCAACCGCCCACTCCCTTGCCTGTCCGCTCGCGCATAAATGGGCGACCACAGTCAAAATGCAGCACCGCTTCCCCGCTGTCTCCTTCATGGTCGCTTGCCTGGTGGCTCGCTCGGTTACTCACTAGGTCCAACCCTGCACCTGGATTCTGTGCCTGAGTCCGTCTGACCGAGTCCTCCTGTGCAACCCCTCACCAGCTGCTGGTTTCGCCCCTTACTGGTCAGGCTGAAGAATTTGTTGTTAACGGACTTCTGAAAAGTTCAGTTTTCCGTGTTCTGACTGTGTTTTCTGTTGCTAATATTTAGTTGTCTCTAAACTTGGTTGTGTGAGAAGGCACGGCACATCCACCTATGCCTCCATCTTGGCGGAAGTAATTAATTAATTTTTATAGAGAAGGGAAGGGAGGGAGAAAGAGAGGGAGAGAAACATTGATGTGTGAGAGAAACATTGATTGGTTGTCTCTCTTAACGCACCCCAACTGGGGACCAAATTCACAATCTCAGTATGTGCCCTGACCAGGAATTGAACCCACAACCTCTTTGTGTATGGGAGGAGGCCCAACCACCTGAGCCACATTAATCAAGGCTATTATGAAACTTTAAAAAATAATCCTAATTAATGTAACTCAGCTCTACTATTGTGCAGAAACCCTATTCTATTGACCATTGTGCTCCCAGAACCCAGCTAAACCACAGGGCACAGAGAAGGCTTTAACAACAGTTCATGAAATATGTCTTTGTTTATGACAGACTATACATAACTACACTTCTCGTAGTCTCCATATTTCTTAAGCATTTAAAAATCTGCTAGTCTCCAGATGAGTGCTTCTCAATTTTTTTGTCTTCAGGGCTCCTTTTATACTCCAAAAAATTATTGAGGCCCCAAAAGAGCTTTAGTTTTATAGACTACAGCTATCTATATTTACTGGACTGAGAAAAAGAGAAAAAAATAAATATTTGATTTAAAATTACTAATAAACCCATTATATGATAACATATTTTAATGGAAAATAGTACTTTCCAACAAAAAATATGGTGAGAAGAGAGACATTCTTATATGTTTTCTCAAATCTTTTAAAATCTTGATTAATGTAAGACAGATGTTTCCTATTTCTGTTTCATTTGATCAACAGATAGTCAACATCACACATTATGCAGGCAGCGGAAAACCCCACTCTACTGTATACTTGTTTAAGAATGAAAGTAAAAATGACAAATAATGTATTACTATTGTTATTAAATCAGTTTTGACCTTACGGACCCCCAAAACATTTTTGGAGTTTCACAACTTTGGCTCCATTGCAATTTGAGACCAGGAAATTCTTTGTTGTGTGGGACTATCCTGTGCATGGTAGGATATTTAGCAGCATCCCTGGCCTCTCCCCACAAGACATCAGTAGCACTGCACATTGAGCATCTGGATGCCCAACTGTAGCAGGAGCTGTGGCACCAGCTTAGGACTGCTAGCCAAGATAAACTGCTATTTGTTTAAGCTGGTATTGCCAGATTTTTGTTATTTGCAGCCAAATGCATTACAAACTGATATAATTAGAAAAAAATAAACCAAACAAATGTTTAGCTTAGTGAGTTATAAGCCAACCACTCTTGTAATCACCATCCAGTTCAAGAAATCGAACTTGGCCAGCTCCACAGAACTCCTCCCATATGTTCCATCCCAATTCCAAGCCCCTTCCTTCACTCAAAAATAATCACTAATCTGATTTTATAATAATTGCTTCCTTTCATTCCCTTGTAGTTTGACTACCCAATGTATATTCCCTGACACTATCATTTGGTTTTGCACATATTAACATTTATTTTTAAATACTTTTTACATCTCTTTTACTTCACAGTTCCCCTTTCCACTCCTTTCTGTTAGCTCCCTTTTCATAAGCTCTATTGTTTAGTCCTCTCATTTCTCAATTTTCCAATACTGATATATCTATAAATATAATAATTTCTACCATGTTTAAAATTTTCCTTTAGGTTCTGATACAATATTAATAAAGTTTGGTCTGACTTTGGGGCCCTAGTTTTTGTATGAGTTCATTGTTTGTAACTTTATTATTCAGAAGGATTAACTTCATTTTTCTTACAAAATATCTGCAAGTTCAATCTCAATTTATTTCTGCTTCTCACATTAAATTAGGGGTAGAAGGCCTAGAATACACTTTCTACTTTCATGGCTCTGGAGCTCCCTCTTCTGGTTTTACACTGAAGTATTAAAAACATGGCCTTTAGCCCTGGCTGGCATAGCTCAGTGGATTGAGCGTGGGGCTGAGAACCAAACCATCGTGGTTCAATTCCCAGTCAGGGCACATGCCTGGGTTGCAGGCCAGTTCCCGGCAGGGGACTCACGAGAGGCAACCACACATTGATGTTTCTCTCCTTCCCTTCCTCTCGAAAGATAAATAAATAAAATATATATTTTTTAAAGTGGCCTCTATATTCTCTGGTCTCCTCCACAGTATCCGAGCTTTCTTTCTCCTTTTTAAAGAAGATTTTATGTATTTATTTTTAGAGGGAGGTGAAGGGAGGGTGAAAGAGAAGGAGAGAAACATCAATGTGTGGCTGCCTCTTGAGCGCCCCCTACTGGGGACCTGGTCCACAACCCAGGCATGTGCCCTGAGTGGGAATCAAACCTGCGACCCTTTGTTTCACAGGCCAGAACTCAATCCACTGAGCCAAACCAGCCAGGGCTCTTTCTCCTTTAATGCTCCATCAAGGTCTGTGGTCCTAGCAGTGCATGTATAGGGAGTGGTTTCCAGATAGATCCTTCCTATGCATTTTCTGAAAGTCCTGAGGGCCCAGGTCACTCCAGAAGTCTCACACCTCCTGTAGTTTCCTTGCCATCACTCACCAGTTGAAGCCAGTAATGCCTCTTCCAGTTGTTATCCAACATGCCTATGAAGTTATTTACTCCCCATGGGGACCCCTCATTTTGATTGTGAATACTTGTGGGAAATTTCTGGCTTCCCTGACAGTCAAAATTATCTTCTCCCCACCACTTCCTTAGCACAGCTCCTGTTTCTAACACTAAGTCTCAAGGGTGCTAGTGGTTTTACCCCACCAATTGATAGCTGGGGATCCATGAAGATACTCTGCTAGCCAGTTGTGTCTCTGCAT